CTTAACCATGCTACATTACCCACAAACTATAGATTACCTATGTTTACATAACTGATATTGTTTACGCAAGTCGTCGCAAAATCGTGCCGCTATCAGTGTTGGCGATTCTACCTGTAGGCCGCCGACTAATCTTGCGTATTCCCCTTCCCACCCGACGTGGTATCGACCTGGCTGGCTATTTTGCATGTTGTGCCGGCGCGCCGGTGTGTCTACAACCAGTTGCCCCGTCTCTCTTGTCATCGGACGTCGCTGCCTTTGACGTCCGTGGGGACCTTGTGGGTATTGACCGGTGTTCCGACGTCCGACCGTTATATTGTGCTGGTCTACTTTTAAATTACGCGTCGTATTATACTCGTCTCGTGTGTTATAATCGTCAGTCGCCATCAAACGGTGCACATCGAGTACTGTTGTGTCACGTGCGTCGTACGTACGTACTCACATTGTTGTGGCGTACACGTTACATAAGATCGCGAAACTCAGCCGCCGCCGATCTAATTGAGTGCTAGGTGCAGTGCGCTATACAGTGAGCCGTCGCCGCCGCCACCGCACGCCGCCCATCCCATCTTCAATCGAAGGTCGTGGCAACACAGCCGCCGTCGGTCTATCTTTATACCGGTATATGGGTCAACGCCGTCGCCCGTCGTCCACCACCTACTCCGACCATCTCTACCGCTCGACAACACCAGCGCCGCCTCCACCGTAGTATAGATAAGTCATATCATTGTTGTTATATATTATTATATTATTTTACTGTTTGTATTTGGTAGCTGGACTTAGAGACCTCTAGTCAGCTACGTTTGTAATGTCAGCCGTTCTTAGGCCTGTCACATAATATAAACATTACATTTAAATTTGGTGTACCCCTTTATTACGTTGGTATAATAATATCAATTGTCATACGCTACATTAAGAGTCCTGACAATGCGAGTACGTCGTGTCAACTGCGATACGAAAGAACACGACGTGCGTTAACAGATATTGTATACTTAATAGTTAATATTGAGTTTATACAGTAAAATGAAAGTAATGATATACATTCTACTCTTGGTTTTTATTATACGTTGTTACTAATACGTTAGTACAGCAGTTCTCTTTGAGTATGGATTTTGACGTTCAATGCACAAACATAATATTGTATATTTAATTACCTACTTACAATTATAAATACCTTAATATTGTACCTACTCTAAACTGGACCTAACTTTTAGGTACTTGGTGATGACGCGGATGTAGAGGAGGACGTGGAAGGAGTGGTGGTCCAGATGGTGGTAGTAGAAGGAGTGGAGGTCCAGATGGATGACGTGGATGGGGAGGAGGGCCGGATGGAGGACATGGAAGTGGTCGACCGTCAGGCGGTGGGAAATGGTGAAGTGAAAGTGGTGGAAGTGGCAGAAGTCCAGATGGATGGGATTGAGGACGTGGAGTATGTAGAAGTGGAAGTGGCAGAGGAGGTGGAAATGGTCGGTGACGGGGTGGTGGAAGTGGAAGATGAGGTGGAAATGGTCGTGGAAGTGGCCGACGACGGGGTGGAGGACGACTACCCGGTAGAAGATATCGAGTACGTGGTAGTGGTCGAACTACCCATAGGTCGTGCGCCAATGATTAACCGGCGTGCGGGCGTAACACACCCGCTTCCAGAGCGGCACTACGTGGGAGCACTGGACAGAGTCTGCAGACATTGTTACGCCCGCCACTTCAGTGGGGAGCAAACAACCCGGGGTCACTTCTCCACGTGTTGTAATAACGGCCAAGTGGTCGCTGCAGGACAACACGCGTTGTTACCAGTACCATATTTATTACAGAGTTTGTTTATAGATGATTCGCAGGATGGTCGAAGATTCCGAGCTGAAGTTCGGCGGTTCAACAACCTACTGGCATTCGCTGCGTTTGCCTCCGACGCACACGACAGGCGTTTGCCAGGGCGGGGACCACCTGTGTTTATTGTCCACGGTCAGACATATCGGACGACTAATCATAAGGTGGCCGTTGCCCCGGAAAATGCGTACAACTGTCAGTTGTATTTCTTGGAGTCCGTAGAAGCCAACCACCGGCGCCTCGATATTGCACGCCGAGCAAATCGTGAACTGTGCGAAATCGTGATGGGTTTATTGGACGGTTTGCTGCGGGGCATCAATCCGTACGCAATGGCTTTTATGTAAGAAAACTCAAACTATTGTATTTATGAACACTAGGAATGTGAATTTAGCCTTACAGTAAATACATTTTACACATACCTTTCTTACAGTAGATAAAAAAAAAAAAACATTTACCAATATAATAGACTTAATAATGATTTAAAATAATGTATACATAGCAAATAGTTTTCTTAACTCCTCCTTATTAGTTATTTGAAATACCTAAGGTACTAATGATATAACATTAAATATGACATAGGGCTTGGACGTTTATGACTTAACATATTTATATGAATTTGAAGTAAAACTATCTTGGGGTACATTTAATAATACATTTTATACACATTGAATGTGATTCTCTACGCTTATTACACCTACACACAGAAACACAAATATTTCTTCCGTGCGCGGCCAAAAGGGGTTAAGTCAAAAGGGCTGACAGATATATGTATTGACGCGGTCCCGCGCAAAATCTGTTTGAATTCAAACAGCCTTTGCGCGGAAGCCGCGCCGCGGCTTCTCAATCAAACCGCCAATCGACGACGGACGACGCCGGCGCGCGACACGCGCGCCTGGAACCGTCGGCCGACCGTCCAGCGAACCGGATTGTGAAGGCGCGCTCTCTCGTCTTCCCGACACCGTCCGGTACACACCCGAACCACACACACGTTCCGTGTATTTTCGCTACCGGTTCACCATACATATATTAAATAAGCTCTTTTGTTTTTAATAATAAAGACTTAGTTTACACCACAGTGCGTCGTTTGTTTGTTTCTCTTTGTTAATACTTTGTCTACTATCCCGTCTGTGGTTTCGACCCGACTATCTCCGTCGGTCACCACCATCACCTCACCACACCACGCGGTTCAATAGAAGTCCGCGTCAACTGGCTCCCCGAACAGGAATCACCGGTAAGTGAAAACTATCTTACCACTCACTACCACCCACATATACCCCCCGTTGCGCGATTGGAAAAAGTCCCGGACGCGATCCGACAAAAACGTGGTTTTCAGGCGTTAACGGAAAAACCGGCGTTACGTAATATATTACATAACCATAAAGGACGTAACGACCGGCCGCGCCGCCCGACTTACGGACGCGCCGACCGCACCACGCGCGACGCTCCAAACACACACGACGTAGGTAGGCATTAGGCAGGAACGCAAGAGCGCGAGAGGGTCTAACCACCACCGCCCAGCACCGCCACTCGCCTACGTCAACACGCGATGACCCGGGACAAAAATACCACGTAATCGGACCGCCGCCGCTTAAAGCGACAGCCGCCGCCTTCCCTAATCGCAGTAGTGCACCGGATAACGCACACACGCGCATCCGCGAAAACACTCTGCGAAGACCGGTTACTGTGATCGCCCGGCAAGCGCAACAATAACAATAACAACCCACTGACCTACATTCTGTACGCAAATAAACACCGATAAGCGGGCAACACAGCTGATCGAAGGAACGCGATACCCGTTCCAACGACAACAGCCACATTTTATATCTCCTCGCAACAACACCGGAAAACCAACCGGAAGTCATGCCGGGAAAATATATTAATGAATTGACCGCCGCGGAATTGCGCTACGACACAACCACAGCCGAAACCGGCGCAAAAAAGATTTCCCCAAACCCACCCACCACAACCAACGCACCAACCGCGAACACGGGACGGTACGGCAGGCAAACCGCAACCGCCCAACCCGTGCAGATACTGCGGAGGTCCTCACTGGAACACGAAGACTCCCGGGTTTGATGCCTTTCGGCTACAACCGCGGACCTCACATTAGCGCTGTGCGCTAGTCGAGAGCCGTGGAGGTTCACGGTCGGCGTACGGTGGAGTTACCCACCAACCACCGGCCGCGCGTCGTCTATGGACCACGAGCACCGGGCGCACACCCGTTCCCACCGAAGTTGGAGAGAGTGCGCCCGTACCGTTGGCTGAGGCGTGCACGTGCCCTTCGCCACCCTGGTCGGGTCGCAAGCTATCCTCATTGCTTCCCGTTTTTGGTCACGGGCAACCTCCGGTGCATATAGCCCCACCGGTAGGCTGGGTGAGCGCTAAGGAGTGACCGTGCTTTCCCGGCCGACTGGCGCCGTACGGGTCCGCCCGGCCCCATCACTCGGCAGCCTTCCCCTAGACCGAGCTTTGGTCTTTTAACCACAAGGTTAGCTCCTGCTAACAACCACTCCGAAACCAAACCGCCGTCGACCGCGCCGCGACCGAGGCCGGGCGCGACCGCCGTGTGAGGGCACGTCGTCAATCATCTCGACGCCGCGGGGCCCCCCCACATCCCGAAGTACCATTCTCGCCCCCGTTAGGTAGGCACATCAATGGTGAGATGTCTGGACCGAGCTTCGTCGACCGGGGGTCTCAGCTGTGGTTCTACCAAGATTAGGATCGTGTATCTCGGGCTCACGGTGGGCCCTTACCAGCGGCGATCGCCATGGCGCGGTGGCCGCGACCCCCAAGTTCAAGGCTCGGTAGCCTCTGCCACGCCTCCCAGAGGCATCACCGAGGTGATCGACTCGCTCTTCACGGGGTCGCAGTCAAAACCCCCAACACCCTAGTCCCCGCAGGTTTCGGTGTGTCCGCGTCCCAGACGCCGGCCCCGACTGGCCAGTTCCCTTTTAGTCGCCTTTTACGACAAGCAGGGAATACTGAAGCTGAATTCTGGACGGCCCCAGCATCAGGGCCGGACTCCTCGCCCTTGGCGCATGAGCACGCCCCTGGTCAGGACGCGCTCGAGCGTGTCCCACCGCTTGTGCCGCTTACACCATGCGTGCTCATTCGGGACACCCCGAGGCTATGCACATACACCGCCTGGTGTGGCTGCGTCCTGACCGTAGTCCATACCATGGACATTACCTGTCGGACCTGTTCTTGAGTGATTGTCTTGCAAATTTCCTGAGTGCTTCATAAGTCTTCCTTGTTTTAAGGAACGCCCCATTACTAGGCGGCCAGCCTTCCTGCTCCGAGGCCATTGTTGCTATTAGTTCCTTGCGGTAGTTCTCCGTTCTTGGGCATCGGTATAGTACATGCTGCACCGTTTCTGATCCGCCCCTGCATCCACAGTTGGGCGATGCCACTAATTTGAACTTGAACAATTTGGACTTAAAGTCCCCGTGCCCCGTCAACATCTGTGTCGTATAATGGTCTAACGGCATAGGCAGCATATACCGTTCCCGCACGCTAGGAATCATAGTCTTCGTCCATTCCCCTTTATCCGTGGATTCATATCGTTCCTGCCATTCAGTAAATATTTCTGTTTCATGGTCTTTAAATTGGTCTAGGGTTATTTCCCCTCTCTTCAGTCGTTTTTGTAGAGCGCTTTTCACTACCTCTAGATCCAGAGGTAGCACGCCCGCTACCACCGACAGACAGTTCGTTGATGCTGTCCTATAAGCTGCAGTCATGGCTAGCAGAGGTGGTCTTTGCATGCTGCCAAGTTTCTTAATTGACTTCTTGAGTTTTACGCCTGGCGCCCATATTTCCGATGCGTATGTGACTCTTGGTAGGAACACTCCTTTGTATAGTGTCCTAGACGTAAGTTGGCTAATGCCCCCGTTCGCCGAAGCCAGGGTCCTTAACCTGCTGTACAGGCTTTTCGACTTTTCGGCCAGCGACTCTACATGATTCCAGTACCCCTCTCTTGGGTCCAGAATCACCCCAAGGTATCTTACAGTACCAGCAGCTGTGATTCTAGGGGCAGCCTCATCTGTACCAAATCTTACTTGGTATCCTGGCTTCACTCCACCCTTAATTGACATGACCTGGGTCTTGGTCGGGGAGAAGGACAGGTTATACGTAACAGCCCATTTCTTTATCTTGTCCAGATAACTTTCCGTCCTTGCCACAACTGTGTCGTGTCTTGCAGCCCCGACCAGCAGGGCGATATCATCTGCATAAGCAATGATCTTGACATTGGACTCTTGCGGCAGTGCAAGTAGCTCGGACATCGCTACCTTCCAGAGAGTAGGCCCCAGCTGCGATCCCTGAGGGCAGCCTCTCTCCATCTTCTTTTCATACATTTTACTTTCTAGTTTTATCTGTGCCCATCTATTTCCTAGATATGACTCAGTCATTCTGGTCGTACTTGGTGAAGCTCCAATGTTCACCATCTGATTTAGTAGCGGGCTCCAGCTTACATTATCGAACGCCCCTGTTATGTCCAGGAACGTGCCCATGACGTGCCTACTCTTAGCCTCATGGACCCAGTTGTATAGCGTATTAATCGCCGTGATCGTGGACTTATCTTGTACAAAGCCATGTTGTTCACCTATGCGATTCAGGCTCGTCTCATTTTCAATTTTCTTGATCAGGAAAGTTTCTAGAGCTTTTCCCAGAACCGGTAGCAGGCTTATCGGTCTGTAGGCTCCCGTAGTCGCCGGATCTTTGTCCCCACCTTTGGGGATCACGATGACGTTGGCCCTTCGCCAGCTAAGGGGGAAGTAACTTTCCCTTAGTGCTGCACCATAAAGTCTGGTTAAAGTTGTCTCGATTACTGGCCAGGCCTTTCTCACTATTTTGGCAGTGAGTCCATCCAACCCGGGCGCTTTACTTGGCTTAATCCGCCATATTGAGGCTTTGACCTCGGAGGCCGAGGGTGATTCCACACCGTCATCAAGGGGCCCATGGTGGTTAAAACTGCCACCGTTCGTTTCATCTGGGACGAATGCCCTTAGCAGTAATTCAGCTGTTTGTTCAACGCTTTCCGTATATGAGCCATCTGCCCTCCGCAGGTTACCTTGTACTGTACTTGGCGGAGCACCTTTTCTCTTCGCCCACCTGAAGGCTTTGCCCCATGGGTTCACATTTAGGTCTCCTGCCAGTGCTCGCCATGTCGCCATCTTTGCTTTTCTGATCTCCGCAAGATATCTATTTCGGTGCGCTCTGTAAGTCTCTGGTTCATTGTCCCTCTGTCCGAGCCTTCGAGATCTTTCTAGCAACTTTTTGAGTGCGGTAAGTTCAGGACTCCACCATGGTTGTCTTCCTGGTGATCGGCCAGCTGTCCTTGTACGTGGAATGGATAAATCTGCCGCGGCCTTCAGCAGCATTACCAAACCATTTGCGTGACTATCTACGGTCCGCTCATCGATGTCCCCAACGTGGCTCGCCAAGTGTGCTGTCATTTTGGCCCAGTCAGCCTTGTCTGTTCGGTACCTTGTATTGCCAGGCTCAGGGCATGGCCTCGCCATTATAGCTTCGAAGCTGATCACACGGTGGTCGCTGTCCGTGGCATCGGTGACAGACCAGTTCGTCACTTGGCCAATCATGCCTCTTGTTATCAAAGTCACATCGATATTTGATGATCCAATTCCAGGTCGATCATAGGTATTTAACGTTCCTTCTACGTTCATTATGTGGAGCAAATAGTCCTCTACGAGATTTTCGACTTGTCGTCCTCTTTCGTTGCTCTCCGAGGAGTGCCATAGGGTTGAATGGCCATTCACATCCGCCCCGACTATTGTGTTTACTTCTCTGTCTAGTATCGGCCTTAGTTGCTCGATGAAGTCATTTGTGGGCAGTGAATACTTGAAATAAGATGAGACAACTATGATCGCCTGCTCTCTTGTTCCTATGCTAACAGCTACAGTGTACTCGGTTTTGAACTGTTCTAGGCTGAGCACCGGTATATTTTTGTTCATAATTACAATGGCGGCTCCGGCCTTATTGCCTGAATGCACCTGCCTGTACATCTTGAATCCAACGATTTTTCCCTGCGACACTATAGGTTCCTGCAGTAATACCAGGTCAGCTCTGTTTGTTTTACAGAAGTCAGCCAGCTGCTGACTCGCAATCTTTTGTTTATTAAGGTTGTGCTGTACTATACGGATTGACTCAGTCATTGCTGGCCAAAGTCCGTACGCCTTAAGAGGCTACGTGTTGCCTGCGTCTTGGCCCTGCATGTCGCACTCGACGCTTTGTGCGGCCCTTTGCAATTCGCGCACTTCACCACTTCGTTTTTGCACTCGCGGGAGTCATGAGCGCCTGCACAGTGTCTGCATGTGGGTTCCTTCTGTTCGCACCTCAGCGACGTATGGCCATATTGCTGGCAATTATAGCACTGCGGGGTAGAGCTGTGTACCTTACACCGACAGCGGGTCATTCCTATATATATGGACCTATTTTCCAATTTCGACACAACGTTTGCTGGTGCTTCGATCACCCAATGGACAACATGACCGTCTCGGGGTCCCAGTTTGTGCAATGGTGTCATGCACCCCACGTCTTCAGCAGTGAGTCCAAGTTCAGGGTTTTGACCCAGGAGACACTCGGCTAACTCTTCGCCTGTTATCCCGCTTTCTACGTCATATAGTATGAGCCGCGGCTTCCTCGGACTGATTTCTATTGCTTGTTTGAGGTCCTTCATCACCTCCAACGTGTTAGCGTCATCCGGTATAATGATCAAGGACTTTCCACTTACGATGGTCTTCGCCCTAGGGTTTTTAATTTTAGTCCTGACTGTTTCCCACAATCCTGCTTTCGCAGTTGCCACGGTCATGTCCTTTGGTATTTCTACCATGAAGCGCGACGTTGCTTTGACCTTCCTGCTTTTCTTTAGCTGCTCTTTCTCTTTTGCCTTTATGGTCTTGGGTGCGGTAGCGACCGTGGCTTTCGGTGCGCTCGCAGCTTTATCGGCATATGTGGGCCTAGGGACGGGTTCTTTGCTAGGCGCCGGCCCTGCCTTTCTTAGCGTATCCAGCTCCGCCTTCAGGCTGTTAGCTTCCGCGTTCTTTGCATCGAGCTTGTCGATAAAGCACGTGAGGCTCATCCTCTGGGTATCCTCTTTACCCTTGAGTTCCCCTTGTAATTTGCTATTATCGTGTGTGAGGCCGGTCGTGACAACTCTGAGCCTTGCCAGCTTGCTCAACATTTTCTCCGAGACCTGGACTCCCAACTTCTTCCCTTTCTCTTGTATGACCGTCTGTTCAAGCCATCCTAAGAGGTCGTTAAGTTCTCTATGGTCCGTTACCCTGTATACCGTTCTTGGTTGCTTTGAGCTTTGCGCAACCGGCGATGGCGGGCCGCGCTTCTGGCTGCCACCTGCCGGGACCATGTCACCACTGTTGCCTTCGGCATCTGTCATGTCGACGACGTTTTCGTTATCGTCGTCTTCGTCGCCACCTCCCCTAAGTCTGAGTGGGTCAGAGTAGCAATGTCCGTTATTCATGTCCGTTTTTCCTTTATAATCCAAGTATGCCATTTCCGTATTCGTTTGCGCATTATCCGAGCTATTGATAACGACCTGTGTGGCGAGCTCACCCACACCTGCCGGATCTAAGGTTTCCTGGGCCTTTGTATCAGTAACATCTTTTTCGTTTTGTTGTGTATCCATAGTTGTTAGGGTTTCGGGGGGTTGCCCCGTGTAGCCCTACACCCTCTGGCCGCCGGCGGGCTAGATCGGCGGTTGCATTATCCATGCCAAGGGTTAGAAGTCCGGAGTCGGCCTACTCCGGACAGTTTTGAACGCCTCTTAGCGCCGGGCGTAAGCCCGGTCGGGCGGGGTCACCACGACAAGGTGGGCGATCATCGACCCCGCCTCACTGGAACAGTGACTGCCCCGGGAACACACCGCGTTCGGGAAACGGGAAATGAGTCGGCGGACACCTGTCCACGCCGCCGCCTCCACCACACACACACACACACCACCACACACACACACACACACACCCACACCACCACGCCACCACACACACACACACACCACCACGCCACCACACACAACGTTCGGCATTACAGACGGGGATATAACCATCAAACGCGCATCGATAAACTCGGCGTCCTCACATATATCACCCGTCCAAACATCAACAATTTCGTTAAGTAGCAGGTCACCATCACCACACCACGCGGCACCCCAAAGGTCCGCATCAACGACCCCTACTACGAAATTAACAGGTACACATACAGTACACACACATAGCACAGAGGTAACCGAAACGGATGCTCTGGTAATGGCGGTGCAAACCGCTCCCCAGAACACCGATATCGCGGTTAAGAACCAGTTATCCAGCTATACATCACCACCAACGTCGAATAACGCTAAACGAGTATGCCCCGACAAAATTCCGACCCCCCCGGTCGAACTCGAATTTAGGTCAGGCCCCGTAACAGCTCTACTCGACTCCCAAGCACAAAAATCGTATGTAAGCCCGAACACAACACAAAAAAAAAAAAAAATTTTTTTTTTTGGCACACCCCACCACGGACAACCCACTCAGGTACGAATGGCGGATGGACACACTACCATGACAAGTGGTACCTCCACATTCGTAGCCAGAATCGGAGACCTCACGGTAACCTTCAACGCAGCCATTCTGGACAATTTATACTGCGACATGCTCCTAGGTCACGACTGTCTCGTGCAAAACGAAGTCACCTGGGACTACACAACGAGCACTATTCATTTAGGTTCGAATAGGAGAACAACAGCGTGCTGGAAAGGTCGGATACCCAACCCCAGCCCAGCACTAGATGTTGACAAACTAACAATAACCCATGCTAGCGAGATAGGAGCGGGTGCCGTCCTTTTCCAACGGGGTGACAGCCCGGACGAAAGGCGGATAATCGCCTACGCAGGCAAAAAGTTTAGTGGTACACAACCAAGGTACGCCGCGATAGAACGCGAGTGCCCCGCGATAATCTGGGCAACCGATGAGTTTAGACCATACCTGGAGGCACGCCGGTTTGACCTATACTCAGACAACTCAGCACTCACATGGCTCCACCGAGCCAAAAACACAAACTCAAAATTAACCAGGTGGGCACTACAACTGGCCAACCTGGATTACAAAACCACCCATGTGCCCGGCGTACAGAACGAAGCGCCGGACATGCTCTCCCGCAACCCGACTACCGGGCCCCCGGTAGACGAGGAACACCTCGAGGAACGACTAGTAGGAGTACCCACCACACCACTCGTCACCACTACTAGTCCACCGGCCGACAATCTGTTCGCCACGACGAACCAAGCTAACACCACTAGTCACCCCACAATCACACACGCTATGCTCGTGACATGGCAGGCCAATGACCCCAACACACGAGACATAACGCACAACATGACAACGGACGACCCAGCGCGCAATACCGGAGGTACCTCGGAAAAAGAAAAACAAGCAATTCATTTTTACCGACGGTCTTCTCCGGATAAGTTTGGGCGAACACACACCCGTAGTCATCCCAAAAATCAACACCCAGAACGTGATCTGGACTAACCACGATCACGTACTCGCAAACCACCCGGGCTGGAAAGAAACGTACAGGGCGGTCAAACACCGTTATTTTTTTTTTTTTGGAAGGAAAAAAAAAAAAAAAAAAACGACATCCGACTGTACGTCAAGTCGTGTCCCATATGCGCGTGTACCAAACCACTAAACACGCGCGCAGACGGCTCCGCGACCACCAGAATATCCCAACCCCCCCCCCCAAACCATAAGCCCACAAAAGTATTTTTTTTTTTTGTGTGAACTAAATTTCAGTCGGCACACCAATCCACCATCAAATGGAGCAGCAACGCACCTCATCGACATCCACGCTCCAACAAGCGGCAGAGCTGCTCGAACGAAGTCAGCAGCTGCTGAGGGCGGTCACCCTCGAGGAGGGCACCACCGTCACCACGGCGGCCAGGGTCCGACGGATGACCACGGCACAATTGCAACGAGACACGGTACTGTGGGCCGCCTACTCGCGCGGATGGGAGGACCGCACGGCCGTATTCGTTAGGGCAACGAGCGGCGAACCCACAACCACAGTGCGGCACAATAGGTCCAGCAGCCCCAGACGGGTGACCCGACCACCGTCCCACCCACGACCGCTGATGGAGAGGCCGGTACCACCGCCAAGGACGGCGACCAGGCCACCTCCAACAACCACCTTCAACCCGCCGCCACCGCCACCACCAAGTGCCACCGTACCAACACCACCTACAGCCACACTGAACGCCCGCCAACGCCGGAACCAGCAGCGGAAGCGGGACTTCATAACAAAACGACAACAGGCATTCCAGCAGCACCGCCTGGAAACACCGGCACTACCCGTAACCCCAGGCCCAGAGACGGTCCTGTCACAGCCAGGGCCTGCGTCCCCGCACATAACCGTGGTCACGGTACCGGAAGTGACACCCACTTCCGGAGCGACCGGAACCACGGAGCGACTGGCGGCTACCACCCCTCAACCCGAGGATATGGAAATATCCCCGGAGGAGGAGGCACAGCTGTTAGAAGGTGCGGGCACACACCTGGCTGACCACGAGGACATGGACGTCAGTCAACTATTCTTTAGCCCCCCAACATCACCCAACCACGACTAGACACCGCCAGGGCCACGTCCGCTGAACACAGCCGGAAAACGTGCCCCCGGACAAGTGTCTACTCCCACCACCCTCCACTCATGAACCTCCACAACCACCTCCACACCCTGAATAAACCACAACACCGGTAACGGCCGGAACACCAACGCCGTTGGTGGTTTGGGGGGGGAGTATGACGCGGTCCCGCGCAAAATCTGTTTGAATTCAAACAGCCTTTGCGCGGAAGCCGCGCCGCGGCTTCTCAATCAAACCGCCAATCGACGACGGACGACGCCGGCGCGCGACACGCGCGCCTGGAACCGTCGGCCGACCGTCCAGCGAACCGGATTGTGAAGGCGCGCTCTCTCGTCTTCCCGACACCGTCCGGTACACACCCGAACCACACACACGTTCCGTGTATTTTCGCTACCGGTTCACCATACATATATTAAATAAGCTCTTTTGTTTTTAATAATAAAGACTTAGTTTACACCACAGTGCGTCGTTTGTTTGTTTCTCTTTGTTAATACTTTGTCTACTATCCCGTCTGTGGTTTCGACCCGACTATCTCCGTCGGTCACCACCATCACCTCACCACACCACGCGGTTCAATAGAAGTCCGCGTCAGTATTAAAATTATATAATAAACATTGTAATTGATAAATCAAACTGATAAAAATTAAAGTAATATTTTACAATAAAATTAAACGCCAAATTGGATATGATAAATGATAAGTGTTATAACTTAAAGAGGAAAAAATATTGACTTAATCCGATTTTACCAAAAAATAATTCATATTTATTAGAGATAAAACACATACCAATCTCAAAATGTGTATTTTTGTGTTAAGCCCTTTTGACCGCGCATGGAAGATTTATAATATATAATATTTAGTATAGATTATACTCTCACCGCTACTGATATAGAGTTAAATGGATTGAATGATCGGATGTTTAAATTACACATAATATACGATTATTTCTAACAATATCACTGATACAATAATACACCAATTACTATTGATTAATACATTTTAGGTAATATGATTTATTCTCAGCTCTTTGCGATCAAAATTCACAATTATTTGTACACATCATGCGGAGTGTGTTTAACATAATTATATAAATATATTTGTTTCAGGAACATGCGTCAGATGTGGCTGGCAGAAAGAGCCCTGGCCGATCCCGCAGCCGCTCCACCTAGACCAGTCAGAATGAATTTCGTTGAAGATGCGGCCCGGGATAGGGGCCGAAACAACCTGCCTACCGCAAATGAAGTTGCGGCCGTTTTCGTAGGTGAAGGTGGTAATCCTCCCAGACACATCGATCTGGTCATCTTCGACAACAATCCAATCAACATGCAATACAGGACGCAAAGGATACCTGCGGGTTAGTACACCTCACACACACACATAATATTATAACAGATGTCGTAACTGCTACCAACAAAGAGTTAAATTACACCCCACCTTTACTACATTTTGGACATTCTTTTGAAATTTAATTACTTAATAACTAATACGTTAAGTCAACACCGACTTCAACCCTTTCACTTGTGCAGTAATACTTATTACATTAACAGTTTGAGTTTGTTGTGTGATAAAATAAAAGTCATCACATTTTTATTCATTTAGTACATAACTCTCATCAGTTTTATAGTAACATTACTTCAATGCTTAATTCACTGTTCTCTTATTTCATAATTTGTGTATACTTCATAACTAACATCACTTAGAATTATTAACACTTGGTATAGAAATTAGCCCACCTTAGAGTTCATGTTTTAGATTGTTTTATAAATTACCTTTCCTTTGCGGTTTTACAAAACATTATGTACTTGCTATACACACAAGTACACGACCCAATCATAACAATAAATTAATAACTGGTAAATATCCTAACACGCATACATTCTGGACATTCTTTTGAAATTTAATTAGTTATTCACTGATTAATTAGGTCAAAACCGACATACATAATAATACTTATTAAATTAACAGTGTAAATTCATTGTGTTGCTGTGAAACAAGCCATTACATTATTAT